CCTGCTTTCCTAGCAAGTTTCCAGCCACAAAGGCGTCCCGTCAGCTGGGTTGAGCCGAAGAGCTGCCGAAGCAACAGGATTCTTTGCAGCTTTCTCACTATTCCCTACTCGGAGTCTAGCTAGCTTGGCATTTCTAGCGCTGCTACATGTACGTAGCCAGTATCTAGTACGCAAATAATGACTTGCATCCGAAGGGAGCCTTTCACCACCATTGCACTCTTGGAATATTCAGGATTCTGAATCGAATCAGCTGAGTACAATGCCATGTATTCCACCGACTTCAATGCATACCGGTACCACTCCCCACTCTGTTTGGACTGTTTGCTGTTTGCCACTGTCAAAACTCGAAGTGCTCGACTTCTGAAAAGCAATTTTCAAGTTTTTCTGTCACTTCAATGCATACATACATACATTTTTATTAATTTTAAAATACCTAGCTAGTCCTTGATTGTCCTGTACAGGAGTACTGCCGAACTGCCGAACTGGAACTGGAACTTGAAAGAGTGCACATCCAATACTCAGTGGTGAAATTCTGAAACTCAAGAGGAGACTACTTAAACAATCTGAACGTGGTCTTCTGGGTTCTGGTTGGTACCAGCTAGATCTATCTGATTCTGATCAGATTCTTGGAACTTTTAGAGTCTTTGGAAAGAAATGGTGCGTCACTCGGAAAACCAAACCATGTCGTCTCTTATTAACTCCTACGGTAGCCTAAAAGTGAATCTTAGAACTATCATGTTTCTCCGGCATTGAAGTGGGAGCATTCATCAACAGGCTTCGGCATCTTGGTTTCCCATCGTAAATCGGATTCTTTCTTCTTTCTTTACCAGTAAGGATGCCGCCCCACCGCATGCCCGCATTTGCCTTGCCTGCAATGTTGTTCATAGCTCACGGCCATCTGGAGACAAGGCCTGCAAGCTCCTCCACCCTTTCACTCTCAACTGCAGCAGTTCAAACCTGAACGCCCACGGTGCCACCGTAGTAAGCATCAACAGCTCGGTGGTACACCGGTCACTCACCGGTGAACAGCACCTGCCAAAAGTCTTACATCTCAAGTTCCAAGTTCCAGAAGTTCCTTCTTCTCCCGAGAACCAAGGGAAGGCTACCGACTGGTTCGACATACATGTACAATACCGTGCATAGCTCCGATTAAAAATAAATGAATGCATCCAGAATCCACATGCAGAACGCTGGAACACCAATACATGTACAGCAGCTATTCCACCACAATGTATGTTGTGTACTCGAGTACCTGGTACCGGTACTCGTAGTCGTCGCTTACATCTACACAGTACTCTCAGTACTCAGTACTCCCAGATAGCATAAGTCCTGCAGGGATGAGAAAGCCATGAGAATCATCAATCGAATCAGTACAGTCATACGGTACCAATGCATAAATAAGTACATGTATGGTGGAGCCCGAAACCAGAATGCCTACTGAGTACTCAGTGAGAATTATTTCGCAACTGAGATTCACGGGTGACGAGTCTTAATTCCCGCAACGTCACTTACTTGTATTTTAAATAGACGTATTTGCCATCAGAACTCCGTTAAAGTTCCAGGTACAAAAGAAATATTCCAGAAACCAGAAGCCTTGGTCAGTGAAAAAGCTTAGAACGCCCCAGCTCTGGTGGCGCTCTGGTTTAGCTTTTTGGTAAGTTTGTATGGATGGGGTGACCTGCGGAGCTCGTACAGCTGGTCTTTGCGCACAGCTCTTGACTCGAAGGGTCTGTTTTCACCGGTAAGCACAAGAAGGGAGCAGCATAGAACAAAGCCACATCACTCTACAACTCCACAGCGAAGTGCTGAGATTCATCAGGGAATATTTCGAGGCGTCAAAAAAGGCCACAGAGCTGGATCCCAAGTGACCCAGTTTCCAGCCTTTGCAGAATGTCCGGAGTCTGGATTCGATTCCTTGCGGATTCGCCACTGTTTCGGCTCCAATAAGACATACGGTCACATGGTCACAGATGCGCACTCAAGAATTCTCTTCTCTTTTTAGGGAGCAGCAAGTACATGCAGTTTACAAGAGACCCTCCACCACACAACACACCACTTCATTTGCCAGTTTGGCAGACGGCAGACTATCCGCCAAACCAAAAAAGACTGATCAATAAAGCACACAATTTCAAACTCTGCCTGACTGCAAACGAATACCAGTCTCAACACATACCTACTAGCAATAACCATGTCCTCGTTTCTCGCCGATCAAGCCAAGCAACGCCGGGGTAAGTGGACTCCTGAAGAAGAGCTGTATGCAGCTAGCTTGATGGAAGCTTTCAAGGATGGATCGATTCTCGAAGACGTGGAAGAAGGCATGAGCCTCAGGGGTTATCTGGCCATGAAGCTGCGAACTGGTGTCAAGAGGATCAGCAAGAAGTACGAAGGCACCAACTATGAAGGAAAGCGCATCTACTTGCACAAACCTGAAGCTGACCTCAGAGCCAACATTTCCGCGGCAGAGATCGAAGCCCGTGAAGCTGCGAAAGCCAAGTTGAAGGAACTCGAACGAAAGTTTGAAGAGTCTGTCAAGATGCTAGAAGATGCCATTGCTGCAAAGCCGTCCTCCAAGCTCATCAGTAGCAGTGTCACTCGCCAGACCATGTGCACTGGGCCCTCCAAGACCACTCCCACCACCAGGAAGCAGATCTCAAGCTTGAATGACCACCGAGATACCTGCAGTACCGCAGCTGGTGCCACTGCACGTGCGGGTCTTTGGACTCCTGCTGCCAAGGCCAAGACCCGTGCTGGTAGTTTCATTCTGCCTTCCAGCAATACCGGTACCATCCCCTCAAGCTATGTCTCCTCCAAGGTCATTCAAGATAACATGCGGATTCTGGCTCTTCAAGCACAGGCACAGGCACAGGCACACAAGCAGGCTCATCCCGCAACTGTTGCCAGCGACCGAATGGCGGCCGTATTTGGACAACCTTCCTTCAGAAAATCCACGTCGGCTGATTTGCTCTTGGCCACTCTCCGTCATAACCAACAGCAGCAACAGCTCCAGCAAGAACATAACAAGGCGACTCTCTACCTCGCTGCCTTGGCTTCTACTTCCTCCAACAGTCTGACCAGTGCGGCTGAGCAACCTGTCATCTCTCGCGCTTCTTCGGCGGAATTCATGGCTGCTGCTGCTGGCAACCTATGGAACTCGAGACCTGCCAAAAGGACTTCCGTTTCCTCCGTTCTCTTCGCCCCTACCGGTAGTGTGCGTCCGACTCCTCTTGATGCCCCCCTTCCACCCAACAAGAGGGCCAGGTTCTTCTAAATCGAGTGACAATCGTTCCAAGACGATTCGATTCTCAAGTCAGGCTACGGCAAAGCCTTTGGCTGCTCATCACGATGAGCCCACAAACATGCCCAATTTTGTCCATGTAAAAAGATACAGTACAAACAAGTCCTCGATACCCACGTTGCAGATGGTTCGTACGAGCTTAGAACGTAGAGTGGGAATGCACATTTTAATTAATTAATAAGAAAGAAAGAGAAAAAGAAACAGATGAATGGCCAGGACTAGCACACTACTGTACGGTACCGGTAGTACTCGTAGTAGCTACTGTTGGAAAACTCTAGCTACAGGCAGCGAGACAGGCAGAGGTGCAGCAGACATGTGAGCCATCGTGGCCACGTCCTCTCTCACCAACTCTGTTCTTCGGTATCGGTATTCGGCTGAAACTACGGTGCCACTGTACGGGTACGGTATGGGTAACAGTGATGCCTGCCAATTTGGCTGCTGTCTCTCACTGGGCGGATCCAGCAGTGATGCAGTACTCCTTTGCTGCGTGTTTGTCGCGAAAATTGTTTGGTGGTTCCGCGTTCAGTATGATACTACCGGTAGTACCCCCTGAGCTCGTCGAAGGCCCCAGTACTATCTTGATGTTTTTGTACGGGCTATCGGCTGGCCACTCTACTGGCTACCTACCGTAGAGGCTTTCGATAGATAGCTGGTCACAGCGGCCACAGCTATCCTGATAGCTATGCACAGCTAGCAGAGTCATAAACCACGCGAGTGAATTGAAATTAAATTTTGATTCATTCGATTGAAGAACCGTTTCAGAACAGTCCAAGAGGCCGAGCGGACTCTGACTCCACTTCACCTAGAAAAGCTCCTTTTACATGTAGTGTTCTTCACTAAAGCAAGGATGAATTGCTTTGTGCTTACTTATTACATAAATTTTTGCTTACTAAGTCTTTTGCATCTCAACGACTTGCTGTACCGGTAGTAAGTAAGTCTTGAGTTCTTTTAGAAGACATTCGATTTAGAAGACACCTACAGCTGCACCTGACACTGCATAAGAAGGCTAAATGGAGAACTTCAACACCCAGGTTCCGAAAAGTTGAAAAGCAAACTAAAGTCCCTTCAACCTTCAAGAGCTCTTCAGGTAGTCTACCGGTAAAGGCACCGTACAGTACCAGGTACCACGTGTTCGCAGTCGTAGATTCGCATTGATTCGAATGATTGAAGATACGTTGATTCATGGTAGATTGATCATTTGAGTTATGAAATGCAGCTTGTCGTCATGGGAGCTTGACTCGGACAAATTCACTGTATTCCAAACTGTTAGTTAGCAAAGTCCGCTACGGCTGGTTGCGCTGTGTTATTTTCAAATCAGACAGCCTATTAGTATTTGTTTTCGTGTGCAGTGTGCAGTGTTGTGCTTGCCGTGCACTTACTTGGATGAATCTGCGTAGCTGGCTGTCCCGGTACGTAATGGAGATTGAAGCAGGTATCGGTTTTTTCCATTCCTTGGTTTCGTTCCAGGTTCATTTTTGGGCTGAGAAACCGAGACACCGGGACACGAATCTTGCAACAAAAGCTGGATCATTCAATGCTCCGACGATTGGCTCGAATTGTTACTTCTGAATCGAATCTTCTTCTCCATGATACGTGGTTCACTCGAGAGATCAAGTGAAAACTGCATCGGCCTAGTACTAGTATGGAGCCCACGGTCTGCCAAAAAAGAAGATACTAGTACCACGTGGCATGGTTTCTACAGGCATGGTTTCTTATTTTATGTTATGGTTGTGACTTACTATTAATAGTAGAATTAGACATCCACGGTCTCTTTTTGGTTTCTTTCTTCTAGAATGGCAGTAGCGACATCCATGTCTTCGGGAGTAGTGATTTTTAGATTTGTGTATTCTCCAAGTGTTAGCTTGACGGGTTCTCCGAGTGCTTCTACGATGGATACATCATCTGTGACTTCCAGGTTTTCTGCCTCCACCTTTTTGAATCCTCTTAGCAGAGTTTCAATTTTGACGACTTGCGGAGTATGCACCTCCCATAGCCTTGCACGGGGAATGGTTCTTAGTACGGTTTTTCCGTCTTCGCTTTCTTTGATGGTTGCCTTGCAAGGTACTCCCAGCACAGCAGCTCCAACTTGTTTTGCATCTTGTACGACATTGCAAACTTCCTGAATGGTGACCAACGGTCTGGCACTGTCATGAATGGCTGCATATTCATATTGCACTTTTCCCAATTCTGTGAGTTTGTTTAATCCATTCTCCACCGAGCCTTGGCGTTCAGCGCCTGGATTTGCAAAGGCGACCTTTTTGTCCGGATAGGCATCAATGAGATGCTGGTATTCTGGCTGATACATTGGATCCATGACAATGACAACGCAGTCATTGGGTTCCTTGCCTTGTGCTTCCAAGTAAGCAGGCAGTTTTTCTAGGAACAATTCTACGGAATGCTGCAGGATGGGTCTTCCTTGCAACGGCAAAAATTGTTTGGGCATGGTCGCCTTCATACGACTTCCTTTTCCACCTGCAAGCAACACGAATCCCACGTCTGTCATGTCCACGCCCTCTGAAGCACAATCTTCAGCTGCATCCTGAAGAATGACGCTGCTACTACATGTACCGGTACTACTAGCGGTACTACTAGTACTACTAGTAGGGCTAGATAGCTTACTCACGAAGGCATCGCTGGAAGATACAAGCAAGCTCAGACTCAAACTGAGCAGAGCACAAGACAACAAGCGTTGAAGCATGATAGTGGTGGACCTTGATTTAGTACGGAGTGCACGATGCAGCACCTAACTATATTACAAATGGCTGCAGCAAGTCTTTGTTGGTGCTTGTTTTGTTGTCACGGTTTTATTATTATTTAGGAAGTTGATGTGGGAAGATCCTGACACCCGGCCTGACGTATCTTTTGTCTATCCGCCTTCCACCTGGAAGCAATGGTTTCGGAAAGGGATAGAAGTAACAGAGACAATGTGCGGTCTTTGAAATTTGACGTCATGATGATGATGCATTCATGTTTGAATCCACCAATCGAACAAAATCGAAACATCTGCACGACACAATGACATACGTACTACTTTGATCAAGTAAGTGTGTTTTTCTTGCGTTTGTTGCTTGCCAAGACGACCATGACGAACGCAACAGCGCGGATACACATGGATCCATCGAACAAATCGCTTCCGTTCCGTGCTTCGGTAAACAATCAACAACACCAGCAAGTGATACTAGCTAGTACGATAAAGTACTGCTCGAAGCGACAGTCACAACAATTGCATCCTGAAGAGCAGTCAGTCTTCTTATCTTGCATCATACAAATTTAAGAGCCACCTGGAAGCACGATCAGCGGCAGATAGAGAGAAGGATCCTACTAAATAGAGTATCATACGTGGTACTGTGGTACCGCGTGCGACGAGTATCGTATCGTGGATGTGTGTGTGTGTATGTGGTGTGTGCTAGAGTGACTATATGTATACAAGGACTAGTGGCTTCTATGTGGTGTATGCTATACATCGTATCCTATAGCTTTGAGTGTGTGTTTCAGCAGTATCTTCATTTCGAGTAGAACTGCTTGTTCTGCAAACTGTTGCAAAGTGTCGTCGTTCGTCGTTTGTGCGGCTGGTTGCTGTTGCTGTTGCTGTTGCTGCTGTAGATTAGAACAAAGTTCGTTGAGAGCTCTTGGATCCCATGCCGGGAAAGCGAGTTCTTGTTCTGCAAAGTGCGTTTGCATCCATTGTTGCAGCGCTGGAGGAGAGGATGCTTGTGCTTGTGCTTGTGCTTGTGATGAGGCTGCTGACTGTTGCTGGGGATTGCTAGACATGGTTTGTGCCAAATTGAGAATGGACGTTCTGATTTCTTCGAGTGGCAGTGCTTCAGCTCCTTCCGGACTTCGTAGTGCACTGCCCGCCCAATAGTCAGCATTGTTGAATCCGGTCATTCCGAATTCCGACTCGAAGGGGCCCTCTCTTCGATGCACCAATGCGTGCACGTAGGATGCCAAAGTGAGAACTTGTTCCGGTACAACAACGGGTGGTCCGTAGGCAAACGGTAATTCGTTGGGCCAACTGAGCGGCGATACGAGATCGTGCGCTTCATCGGTTCCTCCGTGTCCCAGCAGAATGAGCGCCGCGGCACATCGAGCCAGGTATTCTTTTTCGTCGTTGTTAGTCTTGCTTCCCGCGACGATCAAGGCAATGGTTCCAACGACGTCTCGAACAAAGTCGGGCATGTTGGGCACATCTCGTCTGATCTGCACCATTTCCGGGAGTGACTTGTAGTACATGGGCGCGTAGCTTTCAGTGGACAGCGGCATTTGCATTTCACTGATAGCCTGAGCAATGCTGCTGGGAAGACTTGCAGTTGCAGCGCTGCTTGATCCCGCAGGAGTTGATGAGGCGCTCATTCTACTATTAAAATAAGCTATGGGTGATACGTGCAAGGAGCTGATCTGCTGGCTTGAAAGAAATGAGACAGGACCACAAAAATGTGAAGCGAGAAAGAACAGAGCCAATGCTGTGCTGTGTGGTACGGCGCAAGTTGTTGCAAGTTTCAAGGGAAACAAACTCAAGCAAGGGCTAGGTACTGGTAGTGATGGGTCGCTGGGACGCCTTGATTCGATTCGACTTGGTCAGCGCGTCTCTTGTTGGATAGCTACCGTAGCTAGATTCGTACAGTAGCTAGCTATATCGATAGACAGTAAGCAGTC